GTCTGGCAGCCGCGCCCGTCCCTCCCCTCCCTCCCGGGCGCCCGCCACCCTCTCCGGGCCTTCCCAGGACCGGCCCCGGGGAGCAGGGCAGGTGCGATGGCCCCGAGCACCACTCACCTTGTTGGGTCCCCAGGCCGCTGCCGGCCCGGGTTCCGGCGATGACACTCCGACCAGATCCATGCGGGGAAGAGCCAGCCGCGAGCACAGGAGCGATGGCGGGGCCGGAGGCGGGGCCGGGGCGACGGGGGAGCCGGGACCTGGGCCGGGGCCGAAGTGGCGATGACAGATGGCGGCGGCCGCCGCCGCGTCCGGAACTAGACCTCTTCGCTTCCGCCCTCTCCGCGGGGCCGTCGCATCCGATTGGCCAGCGCCCCGGGCTCCGCCTGAAGCCGCTCTGCCCGCCCCCGAGGCCGCACTTCCGGTCGCCGCTCGGCGCTGGGGCTTCCTCCCCGGGCGGGGCCGGGGCCGCTGGAACTGTCACCAGAACCGGGCGGCGGGGACTAGAAGTAACGAGGGACGGAGCTCTGTGGTTCAGGGCCCCCCGGTGCAGCCTGGACGGAGGGGCTGGGAGGCAGCGGCCGGTGTGGACAGCGCAGGGAGCCCGAGGAGGACACCGGGTCTTGTTAATGCACTTGGTCATTGGAGGCGGGCACGGGCACGGAAATTGGTAAATGTGTTAGGAAACACTGACCGTAAACGGGGCCGCCTAGTAACAATCGTGACTCGGTATTTGCAGGGACGTTCCCATAAAGGGACCGGGTGGGGATATCCAAGCGTTGCATTTCACCTCCTATTCGTGCGCTGTGCAAAGTCCTGTGCGCTCGCCAGGCCTCAGAATGCTCCCAAGGGAGCTCTGCCTTTTATCCCAAGGTTCCCGACAAGGAAACCGAGGAGGCCGAGGGCGGTGAAGCAATGCGCCCCGGGCGGACAGCAGTGAGGAGCGACCCGGGCGGGCTGGCTCTCACCGGCTCTCACCGGCTCTCACCGACGGTCTTCCCTACAAACGGCATCTCAGCCCTGAAACAGCCCGAAGCGCAGCGCTGAGCCAGGATCCAGGCCTGACATCCCTGGGTCCTGACCTTGTGATTTCCAGTAGCTACAGCCCTTGCCTCCTTCCCATTCCAGGTCAGAACAGTTCTGAATCTTCCAAACTCCAAAATGAAAGAAGGCAAAACTATAATAATGAAAGCATAATATGCTAATTAGACTGGACAGCCCAACGACCTTCCAGACATCCTTCCGGATGAAGCGGCAAGGCAGCAGGGGCCACGGCAGAGTGGTTAGGGGCGACTGGGCAGCAGAGTGGTTAGGGGTGATGGGGCAGGCAGGCAGGCCATCAGGTAGGAGTCAGCGGTTCCGGATTGCGAGAGGGATGTCCGACTGCTGGTTTAGGCCGGATCCCAGATTGCCAGAGGGTGCAGGCCAGGCTGAGAGACCCCTACACCCACACCAACTCCGGGCACCGGGCCTCTAGTAGCTATATAATAGGATACAGACTTGTGCTTGGCAAATGTTGCCTATATTTGTGAATGTGTGTGGGAATTGTATTCCCTCCTAGTGTTTAAAGGATTAAAATTAGTGTTCAAAAGTATACATAGTTGAGGACAAATGGTTGTAACCAGAAATTAAATGGACCTCCACATCTGGATAAGAAAGGAACAGGAGAGAGGATTAACCAAGAGAAGTTATTTGTTTTGTGTATTTTTTGCCATATATATTTTTAACTTAATTTGACTACAGTTGTCATACGATATTATGTTAAAGTACAACATAGTGATTAGACATTTACATACCTTATGAAGTGATTCCCCTGATAATTCTAGTACCCATTTGACACCAGACATAGTTATTACAATT